TTCTTTTATTAACAACAAAAACCAGTTCATCAATGCATACCAATATATCAGCTATGTCTTTCAGCATATACAGCATTCATGCACCTGTATCAACTACTTTTTTGCTAAGGGAAGGGAAGTATGTTTAATCTTTAGTCTGGATACAAAATAGAACATTCCATTTATTTAGATTTTTTATTTTTTTTTTAGCAGAATTTCCATTTCCATTATTATAATTGTTCTAGACCATACCTGACTCAGGCTAATCTGGTGGTTCAGGATTACAACATAGTAAGACACTTGTAAGTGATCTAATATTTAACAAAAGGAGCTTACTTATCAATAGCATGAAAAGGATATACAGCCAGGATACAACACTGATAAGGTTGATTGGGCACGACTCCCTTGTCTCTGCCTCTCTGATGGTGGAGTTCCCATTCAGCAAGAGATTCTTAATAAATGTCATTAACAGATGGGCTTTTATACTTAGGTGACCAGGAAGCAATATTCATAGGCCAAGCTGGAATCCCCTGGACCAATGAAGTCTTGAATGAGTTTGGTTTCATTGACTTTTGAGGAAAAACTAGTCCACCCCACATAGCTAAAAAGTTAGTAAATATTGCTCCTAGCCTAGTAGTCACTATTTTTATTTTTCTCCTGGTTCTGCTTTCTTTGGCCAGTATTAATTCATACAAGTCTTCCCATATTTCCCAGAATTCCTCATATTTGTCATTTTTTACAGCACAGCTATATTTCATTACATTAAAATGCCATAATTCATTCAGGAATTTCTCAATTGATGGGTGCCCACTTTGTTTCCAGTTTTTGTTTGTCTGCTTTTGCTATTATAGAAGGTGCTGCTATTAATATTTTGCAACATGTAGGTCTTTTATTTCTGTGATTAATCACTTTGCGATATATACCCGGTAGTGGTATTCTTTGATCAAGAGGTATGAACACTACCTTTGCTTTTCTTTCATAAATCCAAAGTGTTTTCCAGAATAGTTGTATCACTACCTGTTTTTACAGATAGGAAACCAAGGGCCAGAAAAGTGAAGAAGCACCTTGCCCAAGAGCATACATACATAGCAGAATCGGGATTTGAACCCAAACTCTTTGATTGTACGGCCAACCTTCTCTACTGTGCTGCACCAATAAGATTTCCTAGCTCATCTTAGCTAGATTCCTTATCTAGAACATGAAGGGACAGCTCCGATTATCCTCATTGTTGGTACTCCTCCTCCTCAAATGAACATAAGTGTATTTATCTGTTTACATTTTATGTTCTCTAGGAAAATGTAGGCTTCTTGAGGGCAGGGCTTGTTTTTCATTTTGTCCTTGTATCCTCAATGTGTGGTACAATGCTTTGTACACATTAAGTGCTGAACTGGATTGGATTAGACTGTCTCCAAGGCACTTTGAAGGAGCAGACGCAGTAAAAGGAATTTATAAAGAAGAAAAAGATTATAGGACACCTGCTTCCTATTATTTAAAAAATGCTTTTGCTATTTCAGGAAAATATATACCCTAACACTAGATGTTTCTGGGAAATATTTTTATTTTTTTTCTTTCCAAAAACAAATGAGTTAAAATGCAAATGTGGGAAATTGTTTCTCCACTAACTAAATTAAGTTGTTCTCCCCTAGCCTTCATGTTAGTATCTTCCATGATTAAAATGATGATTCAAATACGGGAAAAGCTCCCGTGGTTTTAGTTCAAGAATTTTAAAATAACAATTTAACATGTAGTTTACCTTTAATTCATCAACAATTTTAATCAAATTTGATTTTTCATTCTTTGAAGGCAATATTTTGGTCTCCATTTTGTAAGGGTGGATATTTTACTTATTTATTCATGTGTCTTTTGATATGCATAGAAATATTTCAAAAATACTATAAAATAATTTTCCCTCATTCCTTCCCTTTTTTATCTTTTCCACCATGAAATAGGAAATTTCCTGCTGGAAAAGATTTCTGTAAACTGAATATGCTGTCTTTGTCAAGGGAGACAAAGGATTCAATTAAAGGAACAGTATGACTCAACACATGGTGAAATAGAGAAAGGAAGAGTTAATTAGCACTTAGCTCCTCTACATTACCTAGTTTTTGCCCACTCCCTCCCTCTATCACTTGCCTCTTTCCCTGGAGCTAGAAATAAAGAATGGTCATGTCCTCATTCCATGTACAATACAAATAAAGAATGGTCACATCCTCATTCCATGTACAATCATGGGGAAAGTTACTAGTAGTGAGCTAGGGCTTTAGCAACTGCCTATTCCTGTTTTCCCTATATTCAAAGGTTCTTAAACTCCAAATATGAAACATTGAATGAAAATTAATCTTAAAGGTAACACCATCCTCTAATTATTTTTAAGCTCAATTATATTCAGCAAATGTTCATGTACATAGCACTTGGGTGCTGTGGAGATGTAAAGAGGTCTAACATTTTGTTCCTGCCTCTAATAAGCTTCACAATCTGGGTGGGAAAACAACACACACACATACACACATGCACAAAGTTAAATAACAATATAAAATCCTTATAATACAAGTGGTTATGTCTTAGTGTAAAAGTAAAGCCCCATAGTTGCGTTCCCCAAATTTCCAGTTATTTTAAAACACCTCAGTCAGAACAGATTTGTATTTTAACATCTGTTCTTCCTGTAGGCCAATTTAGTAAGGGTAAGATTATGAAGGCTGGTTACTCAATCAGTGTTACATTGACTTCATGATAGAACACCATAATGGTAATACTTGGTCATAAAATAAACATATTTGAAATTGCTTCAGAGCAGAAGCCTGAGATAATTCAGTATATGATTTTGGGTTTGTTTTTTCATCTGCAAAATGGGTGCAGAGTTTGCACTACCTACTTCACAAGGTTCTTGTTAAGAAAGCACTTTGTAAACAGTAATGTTCTCTAGAAATGCGATCTGATTTTACATAAGAGATGCTATATAAGGAATAGTACAGGTGATTAAATTGCACTTAATGTGTCTGTGAGGTACAGGATGGATTGGGCAATGGTGAGAGAAGAGACTGGAGAGGCAAAATGTTGTAATAGTCCCGTTGTAAATATAAGGTGATAAAGGTATAAACTGAGCTTGAAGCAGTAATGAGAGTAACAAGAAGAGGAAGAATATGCAAGACTTTGAGAAGGCAAAATTGGCAGGACTTTTTGACTATGGACAGAAGGAGAAGTCAAAGATGATTTGAAAGTTTCAAGTTGAGGTGACAAAAAATGAAGGTATGGGTTCTCTTACTCTGTGTGCTTAGCACAGTGCCTGGCACGTAGTAGGCACTTAATAAATTTTTATTAATTGATAGTTCTCCCAGAAATCATGCATAGCCTTGCAGCCTGCAAAACTACATGTCTTTTGCACCATGTATACCTTTTTCAGGAAAATGTGGAGAGGAATTAGTTGCTAAAGCAAAAATGAGAACTCTAGAAGAGCTAGATACCAGATTTTGTTGTTGTTCTTCAGTGGATAATGATGAGAATCTGAAAGGTTCTTTGTGCACTGACCTCATTTATGTCTAATCACTTCATGACCAAGAGCCTTATTTTTCCATGATTTACTCCATCTTCCTCCTCAGCCACCCCACCCCCTTCTCGTAGTGAAAATATCAAAGGAAAAGGAGAATTACAAAAGTAAACTGAAGATTAAATTATTTAAATTTATACACACTCCCCAACTTGGCATTTAAAACCCTCCACAAGCTGGCTCTTGCCTACCTTTCCAGGCTTATTTTATATTTCTTCCCCTCATACACTGTTGATTCCAGTCAAATTGGCCTTCTAGTTCTTCTTAGTGTAATCAGTCAATCAACATTTATTAAGCAACTATGCATGCCAATCACTGGGCTAAGTGCACAATATATGTCTTACCTCTGGACCTGCATGTAAATGGAATTTCATATAAAAATATACTGTCTTCTTACCGCTAAGTACAATCCCTAGCTTCCTTCAAAGCCAATTCTTCTACAGAATTCCTGACGCTCCTAGTTATTAGTACTTTCTCTGGAAATTACTTTTTTATTGCTGTGTGTGTATTTGTGTGTGTATGTTTTTATTTACTATTTATGGTATATGTGTATACTTCCAATAGAAGGATAAACTTCTGGAGGGCGGGACCATTTTCTTCTTCATCTTTGTATTCCAACATTTAGCATAGAATCTGGCATACATTAGGCTCTTAATAAATGTTTGCTTGGCTATAAAATCTTGCATACCCTTTGACCCAGCAATACCATTACTGGGTCTGTATCCCAAAGAGATCATAGAAAATGGAAAAGGACCTGTTTGTACAAAAATATTGGTAGCAGTGTTGCCAAATAATTGGAAATTGAGGGGATGCCCATTGATTGGGGAATAGCTGAACAATTTGTGATATATGATTGTGATGGAATATTATTGTGCTATAAAAAATAATGAGTAGGAAGGCTTCAGAAAAACCTGGGAAGATTTATATGAATTGATGCAAAATTAATGAGCAGAACCAGAGGAACATTATACACAGTAATAGCAATATTATAAGGATGATCAACTGTGAAAGACTTAACTACTCTGAACAATACTCTGAACCCAAGAAAGGACCCATGATGAAAAATGCTATCTACCTCTAGAGAGAGAACTGATGAACTCAAGTGCAGATTAAAACAACTTTTTTTTAAACTTTCTCTCTCTTGTCTTTTTGGGTGTGTATTTTCTTTTGAAGTATGGAATATGTTTTATATGACTTCACATGTATAATGGGTATCATATTGTTGCTTTCTCAAGGGGTGGGTGAGGAAAGGGTAAGAAGGAGGAAGAATTTGGAACTCAAAATTTTAAAAAGTCAATGTTAATTTTTTCGTATGTAATTGGGAAATACTTAATGAGATAAATAAAATATATTAAAAATAAATGTTTGCTGAATTCAATTTACACGAAAGTAGAATCAAAATTATGTTTATCCAACTGGTTCACTAGACCGTGGTTGCTTATGCTCTTTTCTCCTCGTTTTTTCCTCTGTGCTTCAGTGCCCTGGCTGGTGCTCAGTGAAATTTTTCCTGGTGGAATTAGAGGAAGAGCAATGGCTTTAACTTCTAGCATGAACTGGGGCATCAATCTCCTTGTCTCACTGACATTTTTGACTGTAACTGGTAAGGAACCTTTGTCTTCTTCTCGTGAGCCATATTTTGAATTTTTCATAAGCAAATGGTCCTTCCCCTTCTCCCAGTCCCAAGTCAGTCAAGCAGTTCTTCTGAATATTAACTATCTACATTTTTAAAGAACTAAACCCTGTGTCTCAATGTCTAATCTTTAGTCCCTGCTAATGAATTTTAGAAGCATATTCCTTTATGGTCTTACAGAACCATATGGTTCTGTAAGCAGAGTAAGCAGCACCAGAGACAATGGGTGTGGAAAGCATCCTCAACTGGGGAGTCTTTGACATGTTACCTGGTAGGGGAAAATAGAGCTCCCAGATTACCACAAGACTTCTTCGGAGAGATTACTCTCCTTTCTCCAAGAAATGGTAGCTTCCTGTTTTAACTAATTACTCTTGGGAACTATATGCTAAAGTCAGTTGCTTCTTCCCACTTGGCATCTAAGAAACCTGATTACTGGGGAGAAAAATGGAATGGTAACACTCAAAGCAAATAGATCCATGCTGTTGGTAAGGGGGCTAAAAGAGGGCTTGATGCCAATCCTCCTAAATCTCCCAAAGTATAATGCTAGAGCGGGTAAGGATTTAGGGATCATCTAGTCAACTCCTTCATTTTATAGTGGAAGAGACCTTTAGAACAGGGAAGTGACTTGGCCAAGGTCAGAGAGGATGGTTCATTAAGCTTTTACTGAAATTGGAACTGATCTGGCCTGGGGTCAAATCTCATAGATTCATGGATGGTTAAATCTAGAAAGGACCTTGTCCAGCTGTCTAATTTTGCAAAGGAGAAGAAGGAGGTCCTGAGTTAATAGTAGAGCAAGCCTTGGTCTCCTGACTCCAACTTCTGATTTCAAGGCTAGCACTCTTTCAGCCACAATGTTGAGATTTTGGTTCCCTCTGGGTCAACCATAGTTCTCTTAATTCAAAAACAAACAGATGATCAAGGAGGGAAAGCCCCCAGTCTTTCTAAGACATGGATTCTAAATCTGGTATCTATTCTCAAAGGGTCTGTGGCAAAGGGAAAAAATTGCTTTTTTATTTCAAGATAATTGGTTTCCTTTGAAGCCCTAAGTATTATATTTTGTGCACCTAAAAATATTCTGTGGAGTCTACAGCGTTCAACAGATGGTCAAAGGGGTTAACAATTCATATTCAAGGTGAGTCCTACCCTACATGTGGTCAACAGGACATTATGGTTGCCCTGACCTGGTTAAGGCTCTGTATTCAGAGGCCATTTATGAAGTCAGAACGTGGAATAACAAGGGAACTGGTCATTCACTCTGACCAGCTCTTCTCACATATACTACCCTGACTGTCCATTCGCACACCCATCAGCTGTTTGTGGAATAGAAAAGAGAAAAAGAGAGGAGAGAATGGAAAAAGGGAAAAGAAAACAGAACAATTGAAAGAGCATGGAGGGAGACTAACAGAATCAAATTTCAGAAAAGATCTTGTTTATCAAATGACTTGACAGATTGGAAAGTAGAAAGTTAGCTGAAGCTAACAAGATACTATTCACCAAGGATAAATGTGAAGTCTTGCACTTGGGTTCTAAATATCAAAGGTAGGATCAGGGAGGCCAGGCTTAACGATGGTCCATGTGACAAAAATCAAAGTCTTATAAATTGACTATAAACTCAATGAAAGCCACTAATCTGACAGAGCAGCCAAAGAACTAGGGTGATATTGAGCCATATTAGTAGGAAGTACAAAATAAGGGTGATAGTAGTCCCACTGTACTGTGCACTGGTTGGAACATATCTTCATTGTAATGCTTAATTTGGGATACCTCATTTTAAGAAGGTTTAAAAGGGATATTGACAAACCAGAGTCCACCCAGAAGATCATAGTAAAGTTTCTAGTTTTGTAGTTGTTCAGTCATTTTCAGTCATGTCTAACTCTGTGATCCCATCTGGGACTTTTGTGGAAAAGATACTAGAGTGGTTTGCCATTTCCTTCTTCAGCTCATTTTACATATGAGGAAACTGAGGCAAACAAGGTCAAGTGACTTGCCTAGGTCACACAGCTAGTAAATGTCTGAGATCAGATTTGAACTCAAGAAGATGAGTCTTCCTGACTCCAGGATCAACACTTTATCCACTATACCATCCAGCTGCATCCTAAAGAGTTCAGTAACCATGTCCTATTATAATCAGTTGAAGGGATTGAGAATACTTATCCTGGATTGAGAATATTTATCCTGGAGGGTGGGGGTGGGGGGTAGGGGTAGGGGAGAAACATCTGCAGGGTTTGAGGTGACAGGTGGGGAAGAACATAATAACTCTTAAAATATCTAATGGCTTGTTATGTGAAAAGGGATTAGATTTATTGTGTATTTGTATTCAGAGGATATCAATGAGCAGAAATTGCATGGAGGTGGGTTTTGATTAAAAATAAGCGAGACCTTCGTAAAAGTTATGCCTATAAATGAAATGGATTGTCTTAATGAGTAACCCATCACAAGAAATATTTAAGCAGAGATTAGATATCGTAGAAAAGATTTCTGAATGATAGGAAGCTAGACTAGATGACCTTTACGGTCCTTTTCAACTATAACATTCTAGGGTTTTATTATTTTAGGGGGGGAAATGTACAAGAGAAGAAGACAGGTGGGTGGGAATAGAAGGTTAGAGAACCACACTGAGGAGGTTTAAAAAGAGAGTAAAAAATAAAATTAATAACATAATTGGAATGTAGTATTACGAGGCTCAAAGAATAAGAGCAAGTTATACACTCACATTTTTAATTTGTGGGCCATACCCTGACCAGTTTCCGCAGTTTCATTCCCATCAGTGGGTTGCTTTGGGCCTCCCCTTGTTGAAGGTCTTCAAGCAAAAGCTGGGTAAGCATTTGTCCACTGTGTTGTAGTTGTGGAGTTCTTCTTTGGGCATGGGTTGGCTTATGTGGCTGCTGAAATTGTTTTCCAATTTAGAAAAATTCTGTGGTCAATGGATTTGGTTGGAAATGATTAGAGGAAAAATCAGGCTGTGTCTTAAATCAATAGACTATCAAAGAAATGAACAACAACCATGACAGTCCCAGGCCTTGCTCATATATTTTTGTAACTCTGTATCTTTTCATTATGAGCCATGTTCTCTTCCTGAACCTAGAAAAACAACTGTTATGAATACATGTGATAGCAGTTTTAAATGACACATTAACTACTATGAATTGATTTTTTTGGATATAGAAGTATGAGCCTTTTCAAAAAAAAAAAGAAAGAAAACACTGTAAAAATGCATCATTAAAATGCAATAAAAAATATTGTCATTGAGTCTAATCGATGATTCCTGTTTCCCTAGTTATCATTAGTATGGTTAAAATCAGAATTGCATATTATTTATGAAGTGGCTAGTATAACACAAGAACTAATCAAGTTTTTTGTGTGTTCCTTGTAGAGCTTCAACCTTTGGATAGTGGCTAATCTTAGAAGGCATGATTCCTGTTTCTCTGGTTATCATTAGTATGATTAAAATTGGAATTGCATATAGTTATAAAGTGAATAGCACAACACAAGAACTAATCAACTTTTTTATGTGTTTCTTGTAGAACTTATTGGCCTGCCATGGGTGTGCTTTATTTATACAATAATGAGTCTAGCTGCACTAGTGTTTGTTGTTTTGTTTATCCCGGAAACAAAGGGATGCTCTTTGGAACAAATATCAATGGAACTGGCAAAATCGTAAGTATTAATGATTGATGCTTTCTCTCTCCCAACATGTGACTGGCATACAGTTAGTTTTGTGAGACAGTTGAATAATAGATCAGCAATTAATTTACAATAATCTCTTTGGATTGAGATCATCTAGAGCATGATTGAGTTTACTGCCATCTATTTTGTCTTTCAAAGATTTGTAAAATCAGAAAGACTCACTTAAGGAATGAGACTATTATATAGCCTTCTACAGAGTGACCTTTCTAAGTTTTCAGGAGAACTTAGAGACATTCGAGCTCTTTTCTCTCAATTTCTTCATCTCCTATGAGGTTTTCTCCCTTTTTCTGGTGGGAATAACACTACCCTATATTATATTTCCTTCCCAATGTTAGAACTACTGCAAGTATTTGGTACCTCCATTGCTAATCTATATCCCAACCAAAATTTAGAAATCTTGGAGAAAACAAAGCAAAACAATTTTTAACAGAAATGCCTGGATTTTTTTTACATATGCAAAAATATCCCAGCTAAGATCGGTTTAAGTTTAGGGGATCAGAATAAATAGAAGCTTTAGTAGATTGGTTTAAATAAATTTCAAACGTGGAAGTAGTATAACCTGACTTAGAAGTGGCCTGAGAAAAAGGCCTTTCTCCTTTCCATTAGAAGAATCCATAGGGCTATCTGGTAAATGGGAGGCTAAGTGACAAATGTAGGCAAAGCACAGTGCTTTGCACATGGTGGTTTCATCAATGTTTATAGAATGCCTAAATAACAACCATCACTGAAGGTCTTCAAGTCCAAGTGGAATGGCCACTTGTTGGGAATATTGTCATGGATTTTCATGCTTCAGGTAGATTTATACTAGATGACCTTTACAATCCTTTCCAGTGCTAAGTTTGTAAAATTAAATGGCTGAGTGAAAGGGTATTTAAAAATCTTACTATTTCTGCAGAGACTTTGTTAGTTCTTTAAATATGAAAAAAAGTAAGAATATATTTTCTTGAGCAAGTAAAAGGGAGAAAATGAATAGGTTTATGTTTTTTAAAGTTCATTTTGTTTTAAAAGACAAAATGGTATCAATGCAATAGTATAGGTAGCCATTGTTATAGACTGCAATTATAGTGACACTTCTGAAAGGAGTTCTGAAAGTTCAGTTCTGAAAGGACCAAATAGCTAATCCCATAGATGTAGCAGACTGTGGATACTGAAGAGACTTTTCTTTTCAACATTTCTTCTACCAGTTCCCACCCCCACAAGTCCTACAAAATGTAATCTTCATTAAATGTTCCTTAAAACTTTAAACAACTTGAAAAAAGTTCCAGGAATGAGTTGAGTAAACATCTTTCCTTTAACTTGGTCTCTGGACCATCTTCTGAAATGTCAATATAGTCTTTTTTCAAAATTGAGAACAAGGCTACCAATGATTCCCTCTTAGCCAAACTCAATAGTGTCTTTCTCTACTTTTCATGCTTTCAACCTCTCTGCTGTAGTTGCTGTGTTGGTGATTCTCATTTTCTTGAAATTCTCTACTTCCTTGGCTTCCACTGACACTGTACCCTCCTAGAATTACAGAATTTTCAGAGTCAGGTGAGACCTCAATGGCTCTTTTTCAACTGACAGTGGAAAGGAATCTTTACCATAATGTACCTAGGTGGGTATTGAGCCTCTCTGCTTGTTTACCTGTAATGAAGGGGTCTCAGTTTCCCCAAAGGCCACCATGGTCAAGTCAATCATGCCCTGCTCAGCTCAAGCCTCTTCTCTTCCATGAAGCCTTCCCTAAGTAACTATAGCCCATAAGCTTTCCTTTCTCAAAGAGGCATAGCGGATAGAGTGCTAGCCTTGATGTTAGTAAGGCCTAGGTTTAAGTCCCAGCTTTGAAACTTAGTGGCTCTGTGACCCTGGGCAAGTCACTTAACTCCTCATTGCTCTAGGTAACTCTCTAAGATGATAAATTGCAGGGAAGATGCTGACTCACATTGGTGGAGAGTTTCTTCAGCTACAGGTGCCTTATACCAACAAAATCATAAATCCAATCCCTGTGCCTATATTTCTACAAAAACTTATATCCTATACTTCTCAAACTAATAGTCATATACTGGCATGTATTGTGCTAATTAGTTTCATTGCCTATTGTAACTAGATTAGAAACCCTGTAGGTCAAGGGATGTCTTCTACTTGTTTGTCCAAGAATGCTCAGGTTAGTTCTGGGAACACAATGAAGAATAATCAAACACACACTAGTTTGAATAGTCTAGTCTGAAAGTCTGCAAAAGGGTTCACTGATGAATCAAGTATATGAAAACAGATTTATTATGGTATACAGTAACAGATTTCTTTTATTATGCTAATGTCAAGGGATATGCTAGCATCCATTTGCAGATTAGGGCAACAGATGGGGCAGTAGATAGAGCACCAGGCCTGAAATCAGGAGGACCTGAGTTTAAATCCAGTCTCAGACACTTATTGTGTGACTCTGGGCAAGTCACTTAACACTGTTTGCTTCAGTTCCTCGTCTATAAAACGAGCTGGAGAAGGAAATGTGGCACAGTAGAGAGAGTGCCAGGCCTGGGGTCAGGAAGACATCCTTCTAAGTTCAAATCTGGCCTCAGACACTTAGTAGCTGAGTGACCCTGGGCAAGTCACTTAACCCTGTTTGCCTCAGTTTCCTCACCTGCAAAAGGAGCTAGAGAAGGAAATGGTAAACCACTCTAGTATCTTTGCCAAGAAAACCCCAAATGAGGTCATGAAGAGTCAGACAAGACTATTTTACTAAAACAACAATGTGAAAATTAACAGTGTTAACCTAAGTGCAGGTATGATTTAGGTTTGCCCATGGTATAAGCAAATAAATATGTATGATAACAAGACATACTGGGTCCGGCTAAGAGTACTAACTCAGTTAAGGTTTAAAAAGTGAATGAGGCCTCAAAATACTTGATATACTAGTCACTCACACCCATGAGGGTTTTAGTGCCTTTGAGCTACCTTTGGGCTACAATAACACATACATAAGTTCTATAGTCAGAAAAGCTTCTCCAAATGTGGTTTGATAATAAGCAAAAGAGAAGAGATAATGAACACAAAGCTCTGGGAACCAATTGATAAAAAGCCTCCATTCCCTTTACTTCCATATTTCAAAAAACTAAAAAAAAAACCTCAAAAAGGAAATCTGGTTGAGAAATGGACTATGAAATATGCGGGTATATCTGTGATATGGCACAGTCAAGATCTGATTTCTACAGCAGGGGAAAAAGAAAACCTAAGTACAACCCTCCCACCTAGTGGACAAACAGAATAAAACAGTCCTTGGGAACAAACTGGTGCTAAAAAGTCAATTCACAACTCATGCTAACTTGGGGGGTGGGTAAGCCTATCTAAATTACAGAAACTCTGAATTATAGACTATTTTAAAGGGACAGAAGTTTGTTTGCTTTTAAGCTTTCTCTTCCCAATCCTTCATCCAAGAAAATAAAAAATTCAAATTAAAGGAAATGTTAACAAGGACCAAGGTCAAAAGCAACATGATACTTTAAATGGAACTCTCTTTATATTAGTATTTATACTTTAAAAATTGTGAGGGAGAATGAAGATAGAGAAAAGAATTAGTAAAGAAAAATAAAAGACAAGGAGGTGAGAAAAATCCTTATTTGAAACTTATAAAGGGTTACATATTTATGACATATATAAAGCAAACTGATAGCTTCATCTGACAAGTTGTTTCCTCATACTAATTTAAGATGGCAAGTGGATAGCAAGGCAGTTGTGTCTTGCTACAAAAGAGGACAGAGAGAAGAAACGTGGCTCCTCAATAGGTATGTAGAGAATGACATTTCAGTTAATATCAGTATACAGATGCCATTTCCAATTACTCAGAAATTTCATTGTCATTCATGCCATTCATACACCCATGTAGGTGGATTCTTCTTATTTCTTGTGAAAACTGGTTTATGGGAGTAACATCTCCCATTTGAACTATTGGCTTGTTTTCAAGGACTCCCTGGAATGCCAGTTTCTTAGTAGATTCTGCAGCCTAAACTAATAATATGTTGTCTCAATTTACTCCAATGGGATTTTTAGTAAAAAAAAAGTATTTTGCCCAGTTAGTGTACACAAACCAGTAGGCTAATAGGACTTAATCACTTGCCCAATGCTACCATTCTGTTACTACCAATAGGAGTAACGCTAGCAGACTTGGGTCAATTAGTAATTGTAATTTTAGTTGAAAGCAATTCATCTGACAGCTAAATTTAAGAGCTTCCTCCTCCATATATTTCTGATCTTATAGCCAACTACTAAAAAACTTCCACACCTCTCTCTGCACTGGTAAGAAAACACAAATTTCTGCCAGCTCACATCAGCCCAGAAAACAAAAGTTCTAGCTAAATTGCTTAAAGGATAACATCAGATTTCTAATATATTTGATTTCCTTTTTGACCACGGAATAAGATAATTCATATGGCTAATCTATATGCCATTTAGTTGGAATAAGTATTTACATAAATAATGGACTAGAAGACCACACAAGCATGACTGCCATAGTACCACACATCCTTTTTCATTAGACTTACCCACATCTCTCTTCTGCCTGCTTTTCCCATCATCTTGTTTTAATTTTCTGTATGACATTTTGCAATACTGACATTTTGTTGGTTAGTCAACAGGTAAAATTCATTTAAATGAAGAAACACATGATATTTTTTTTAAAGCTGTGGGAGCACATGAAAAATATTTTACTGCAGTAGAATGGCAAAGTTGGACTAGATCCCAATGGGTCCCCTGTAGTTCTGAAAAGCTCTACCATATCCAAGGGTGATATGAGTTCTCTTCTGCCTTCCCACCTCCCCAATTTTCTAACAATATTTTCGGCTACATTTTTAAATGCCTTCGAAAATCCTGTTCTAAATGACTATTAGAATGTAGAACAGTTCCATAGAACATCACTTGGCCCCGTATAAAGTACTATCCCTCCAACCCCCAAACATAATTCTCTATAAAACTGCACTCTGTTTAACATTGTTCTTTGTAGTGTCCTCTCCTTAACCATGTAACATATCCTCTTAAGCACTTCAGGTATATTGGCAGTTTTACAGTTAAGACATTTAGAAATGAGGTAAATGATTACATTTTTTGCTGCAGAGTAAGAATCCAATAGCCTGGAATCCTAACTTTACATTTACTACTGAAATAGTCTTGGTATAGGAATTACAATAAGATATTCTAAGGACAAAGTCAAAGTGAATGCAGTGTCTAAGATACGTTCATATACTTTATTACTTAACAGTTTTCTCTCACATTTGGGATTAAGGCCTTACATCACTATTCTTGCAAAATTAGATAAATTTATGTAACATTCATAGTGCCTGGTATTCAATAAACTGAGGGAAGAACATTCTACAATATTAATAATTTTATTTGTAACATCAAAAAAAGAAAACAAACTTCTGTCTTTTGGGCAGTGAATTCAAAATAAGATGGTTCGCTATCTTAGTTATTTCAGGTATGGAACCTACTCTTTCCTTTAAACCAAGAATTTTATTTTATATCCCTGAGACCCGTGATTTCATTAATGTATGGTACTCCCAGTGAGGGAGCTCCCTCAAAGTAACGCCAATCAGAAATGTTTTTGCAAATTATAATCTTAGAAAGTTGCTTGGGCACTGGGCCAGGATCACATAGTGTAAAGAGAAAGAAGGAAAAAAGGAAAAAAAAAGGAATGAAGAAAAGGAAGGAAAGAAGGAAGGAGAAAGGAGGGAGCGAGGAAAGAAAGGAAGGGAAAGAAGGGAGGGAAGGAGAAAAAGAAAGAATAAAAGAAATGAAAGAAAAGAGGAGAAAGGAGGGGAAAAGGAAAGAAATGAAGGAAAGTAAAAGAAGTAAAAAAGGAAAAGAGAGGGAGGGAGGAAGAAAAACAGAGGAAAAAACCGTTTCACAGAAATTGATTGTTGGTAATGTTTTACCTACATACATTGATACAAATGGTAAACATCTCAATGACTGGGAATGGGGGAAGCAGTTGTTGTAATGACTCATTTCTTCCCCACCATGAGCAATTAACCTTTTGTGTATTACAATGAAAACGAGAAACAGTAGGATTTGTGGATGATTAATTTTTTCAGGACTCCACGTCAAGCTTATTGTACTTGGAATTCAAATTTGCAGGTAAAACTGTTCTATAATGACATCCTTGCAATTCTTTTGATAACTAAATATGTGTTGGACAGCACCCAACAAAAACCTGTGTTCTAATATATTATACAGAAAGGCTTCAATATCATAACATGACCTCACAGTGTACCTCTAGAATGTTACAAACTGCAGGGTGGCTTTTAAAATATGTCTAATATTTTTAAAAACAGCACTGTATAAAGCAAGAATGATGTTTTCATTGATAACTTCTTTTCTTTCAGGAACTATGTGAAACACAACATTTATCTTATGAGTCATCAGAGAGAGAAGTTAGTGCCAACGGAGCTTCAAAAGACAAAACACCAAGAGCAGTTCTTAGAGTGCAAAAGGTTGTACAGTAAAGAGCAATCAAAGCAGCTTTTTCAGGCAAACTGATGCCATGCAAACAACGACACTGATTTGGCGTAAGGACACTCAGTAGCGTCTTTGTAATAACAAACATTTGGCTTTTTTTTTTTAGCTTCAGTGTCTAAAGCTAAAGTTTTAAGGTGTTTTCTAATATGGTCACAAATGGCTTAAAAATCAGTTCTTAATCTTAAAGTCTAACTAAGGAAAGAGCAAGCAGACATCACAAACTACCTGTCATACCCCAAGAACCAGCTGAGAACTGGCCTGAGGAAGTGTGGTTGGGTTATTGCTTTTCACTGTCCCTACTGAGCAATTTAAGAAAGAACAGGCCTTGTGCAATCAATCATGTGACCACTCCACACTCCAAACATATATATATATATATATACACACATATATACACACATATATACACACATATATACACACACAAACACATATATGTGTATATAAGAGGACAACTTTATTTTCAGAGATGAGGGACAGATTTCTAAAAATGACTTTGCCACTATAGGAACCTGGCTTGCAGAGTAGATCTTTATTTTTTCTTTTTTGTAAGAGAAGGCAATAAGTTCTAAGGGTGCAGTTTATCTTTCTTCGTTAGTCTAGAAAGGGTTAGAATGCTCTCTGATTGCTACATTTTTGATTGGTTGTATTTGCTGACCTGTATCTAATTAAGAATAGCAAAGGTTTCTATAGCTGTAATTAAAATTCATGTAGTAATTTTAAAACTTTGTTAATTATCCTTCAAGTGGGCTTTCTGAACCTACCTGTATATTCCAGATCCCAATGCCCATGTAAATAAGGAATCAGTTTCATAGTAGATGACAATTTTTAAACATTTTTCCTTGTTACCAAAGTGAGATGCCAAGAGAATTTGGAAATATGGGACCATATTTAGTTGTACCCTTAGTGAAAACTTATGAAAAGATTCATGAAATTCAGAAGTTAACCAGATAATTAATCAGTTATTTTTATTTTGTTGCCTTGAATAAAGTAAGCTTTCAAAACTTTCTTCTATCAAGGTTTTCAAAGCTGAAGTGCCTAGTGTCTGCAACTTCTTCACAATTCTCAGGAATTTCCTACCTCAGGCTACAACCAATAGGCCATTGTAATAGCTAAACTTCAGGCTGCTGCAGATTGTGTAAAGTTATGGATGTCCAAAGATTGGGTCATCTATCACATCTATTTCAGTTGTATTAACCCCATTAAAAGTGAACGAGGTATATATGTTTCTATCTAAGTGAATAATTCATCTAATCCAGGATTTGCTTTCTGTGCTGTATTTCCATGTAGTTTCTCCAATTTAAAGACTTGGGCAAGGGCATTTACATGGAAAATATAGTAGAGTTTGAAAGAAGCAAAAAGTCACAACCACCAAAAGTTCATTATACCAACACATAAACAGTAATTAAAAGATAGTCTATGTATATCTGAACTTTCAATCATTAATCAATCCAACTTGACAAAAAATTCAAGCTACAAGTTTTTTTTTTAAAGAGGGTCCAAAAACCAGTGACCCTATTAAAAAAAAAAAGACTTTAATTTGGGAATTTGATTTGATAATAAACCTCTGAATCTCTCATATGCCTTTATATTCAAATTGGGGGAGATACAAATCTAGGATAGCAGCAATAGCTTAAAAACCAGAGACATGCTTTAAATAAATTTAAAAAAAAACACAATGTAAGAAATAATTCTACCTAGAGAAAGGCTAGTAGGTTCACTACTGAGATTTCCCTTGAAGATAAGGGAAATATGGATAGCAAGAGATATTATAAATGGGAAGTTAATGTCAAGTTCAGTTTTTTTTAAATAAGCTTCTGAAGCTTCTCTCAAATGCCTTAGTTGAAGTTCAAATAGTCTACTCCATTATACCTCAGTATGAGCACTCATGATCAATAGATGCTTGTAAACCTTGTTGGTTACTGCTAGTGATACTAGTATCAAAAAACTAATAATTCTATTTTCCAAATAAATGTTTACTCAATCTCACATCAACTCTTTGATTTTCTAAAAATAGGGAGTTGTGGATGAGGATATATTTTTATTACTCTTCTCCCAGTATAATGTGTGTGCGTGTGTGTGTGTGACAGATTTTTTTTTTTAGGCAATTGGGGTTAAGTGACTTGCCCAGGGTCACACAGCTAATAAGTGTCAAGTGTTTGGTCTAAAGCTGGATTTGAACTCAGGTCTTCCTGACTGCAGGGCTGTGCTCTATCCACTGCGCCTCCTAGCTGCCCTGTGACAGAAATTTTATAGCCATTTATCTCTTATTACCATACATCTATCTGTTGCTCTTACCCTATTGGGTTGTACTCTAACACTACTTGCTGATACTGATTCAGCTACATAGAAACACCACCTGTCTTCTCAGCACTGCCTCCCCTCCCCATTTTAAAACCAAATAGCCTATTTGAGAAAGTACTAATCAAGCTAGTTTAACCATCACTGAAAATCTGAGTCTATTCCTTTGGTTTAGTCATTTTTCCCCCCTTTCCTAGTTTTCAATTAATTTTTAAAAAATATCATTGCTCCATATGCAGTTCTTTCCTTATTTCTCCCTTGTTTATTAACAGCTTAAGTTTGGGAGCTCATTAAAACCAAGTATATATGCTCAAACTAATTAACCATATAGAATCTGTTTGTTCATCCGTTTTGATTCTTTACATTAGATGACCTACTGAACTTTAAAATGAATTAAATATAAAAGAAAAACTATTAATGAGAACATTAAAATAACCTACAAATTCAGAATCATTTTCAAAGTCAGGCTTATTACCCAAGAAAAACCTCCACAAGAAAGAATTTTATTTTGAAGTCAGTCTTTTCACTTCTTATAGGGCAATCAGGATGGAAAATGATAAAGAGGAAAAAAGAGGGCACAAAGAACATATAACATTTGTACAAAATTGTACAATTTATCCTAATTTAGCATTCTCTAATATACAGGAAAAGTTACTTAATGGAGCTCACATCTTTAATAATTTATTCTAATGTTTCATAACATTTTAATACACTTAGATTTTGGTGTAGTATTATGTTCCCTATTGTTTCCAATGATTTGTGGAAACTCAGAGTTTTATTTTTCAGGATAAAAACACTGTTAGCTATGTTAAATTCAAGTCACAGGGCATTCCTGCAGCATAATTACCATTCCAATGCTCAGGAATTAGCCAAAGACGACAATGGATCACAAAGTGATTTAGTAGCATTTTCACTTACTGAACTAAATAATCCCTTATGCTCCATTAAATAAGACAAAAATCAGAGAGAAAGGACACGTCTCACAAAATGGCCAAGGTGAGTATATAATGGTATAGGCATGAAACAGCTTGGGGGCACTTCTTGTCATGACCACACAACTTTATCAAACTGCCAAGACTGGCAGGGGCCTGTAGTGAAGGCCTAAATTGAGAATCTCCATCACTTTCCCTCAGCTGTAACTGAAGGCTTTCCAGAGTAACAATGAGATGCAACCCAACAGAGCTGCTTTTTCATATCCAATCTGTGGGCAAGAAGAGTTTCTTTAGTAACTAATATTCTTTTAACTCTCAAAAGATATTTAACACTCTTATATTAAGTTAGCAATGTAAGACAGTTTAATCTATAAAGTTCTACTCTTATTCCCTATAGTTTATATACATTTTTTTATTTCTAATTTGCAAGAAAAACTGACATTTGGTAACACAGCATTAAGAACATACTGTACACAAGTGGCATATATACAAAATACACTTCAAATGGAAGCCAAAAAACACTTCAGCAAAAGACTAAGTTTGCATAGTTTAAAAAAATGAATTCTGAGTAATACAATTTTAGTTAAAATAGAAAATGAGGAAGAAAAAAATAACAGAATAGGTATGAAGAGAGATCTTTTCCAAACTTTTATTTGTGCACACATTCATCAATTGAAAAAAGATAACCTTTACAGCTTCTTTGGTGCCCATGTTCAGCATACAAAAATGTAAAAGACTATTCACAAATAAAACACATTAGCTCAAACTGAAAAATAACCAAAAACAAAAAACAAAAAACCAACCAAAATATGTCTTAAAAGTAGTGCACACTGTGACAGCTCTGCTTATGACACGAGAATTACTGCAAAAATAAATAGAACGTCCTTTTGTAAAAGCAGCAATTTCACGTCTTGTAAACTTTTTACATTACAGCACTGTTCAAAATAAAATCCGAAGGGACTGGAGCTTACACTGTGGCCATGAACAAATAAAAGAGTCTATTTCCTCAGTTACTGTTGGTCCAGTTTTCCTTTTGCCTTGAGTCCAATGTGCAGCAGTTTTAAAAGGTGCTCAGTTAGGGAACCTAACCAATTGAATGGTGAATTATAAAATTTCTTTTCTGCTTTCAAACACATATGGGTAAATCTGTTCCACAGCAGTAGCAACAGCCTTTACATTTGGCCCTAAAACAAAAGAAGAAAATGCCATGAAAAGTCAACCTACTAAATGTAAATTACAGTATTTCAAAATATAAATTAAGGTGAATATTTTTCCTGGTCAGCACCTACAAAATGACATACTTGGGTAGATGACAGATAAGAGAATTAAGCTAAAACATATCAAGACTTTTACTGATCCTTAGTTTCAGATCCCTAATTATCTTATTATTAATGAGAAAGGTTCATGTAGGCTAATAAATCTTGGGAACTACCAAAAGAATTCTACTACTCTTTCAGTCAGTATAACCTGACATATAAAAAAGCAATCATTACTTTCACAAGTGTGACAGGACCAGGATCGATAGGTTTGTTTGCCTAAAAGATGACAAAACTGTTCCCAGGACTTGATTGGCCCGGGACCTAGGGCTCAAGCCATGCATCACTTGAGAGCTTCCTGGTAGCATCCGACTGTATTGATGTAGCCTTCTAGTCACCTAAGAGAATTAAAGAGGTTTAACCACATGGAGTTAGGGCCCTTCAGACTTGACAGATTTCCCAAGACTGGTCACCACTTGCTATTCTACTGACCAGAGATATTTCCATTTGTAACTCTAAGCTACGTGCTGGACTATTCTTGTTCGGCATCCTTTCTGTGTGACTGCTAAGCAAATTCTTCTTTGTTCAATGACCTGTAAGTATTTCAGAAGTTCCTTTCACAAATGATAACCACATGTGTGACAGCAGATACATGCATATACACATAGACCTGACAATTTATAGCTCCTCTGGCACAAATGTTATTTTAACAGCCATCTGATAAACTGGCCTGTTTACAAGCTGGTAGGTGAACTCTGCCCAAACACAGAGAAAAAGAGATTTGGGGTATAAATAATGCATTCACTAAGAGTGAAAGTATACATATATGCCACACCTGTAGTATCATCACTTCTGCAATAAAGGGAGGGAAGCCCATTTTCTCATGTCTTCTCTGGGGTCAACGTTGGTTATTATAATGACAAAGCACTGTATAGTTCTTCCTCTTTGCATAGTTGTAGTCAATTACGCATATTGTTTTCTTGGTTCTATTTCACACTCTGCATTAGTTCATTGTCTTTCTATGACTACAAGAATTCTACCATAAAGTTAGTTTTAAAAATACTTTGAACTGAGTAAAAACTAGTTTAAAAAATCCACTTGTTTGTTTTTGGACTGGAATTTTTTTGAAATTAATTTTTTTCACCAATTGTCAATTAACTCAATAAAGGTGGATTTTTAGAAGTACCTTTTTAAATCCCTGACTGGTTTTTCTCTGTACTTATGCAAACTGCCTCTGGCAGTTTTCAATTGGTTGTTTCAGCACACATACATTTTATACATATGTAACCTATAGCTATGTATTATGTGAAATATATTCAAAAGACTAATAATAGTTCACATATAGTACCTTTGCATTTATAATTCATTTTCTTCATAATAACCCAATATTGTAGGGCAATTCAAATATTATATATCCCCTTTTCATGTATCAGGAAATTGAGGTGCAGAGAGATTACGTGACTTGCCTGGGGTATTAAGGGCAAAAAGTGGTGTAGCTACAAGTCAAACTTACATCTTTTCTGACAAAAGAGGAAAAACTAAACTTGATCTAAAAATAAAGCAGAACATTTAAGTCTACTGTCTACCTCAAGATGAAAGTGTAAAGCAAAAGAAGACACTGATTGGAAGTCTATTTAGAAGCCATATGCTTGGTGACACTGTGGGGGAAATAGTGTCAAGTTCAAGCCCCAGAAGGAAGGATGGCCAGGAAGAGGGGAGAAGCCAAATTCATTCCCCTGAGGAGGGATCCAGGCTATAGATTCAGCAAGTTCTTGGAGGAGATCATACCCTAAATCCTAATCAGCCATTACCAGTCACCTTTCTTAACAATAATAAGTAGGAATATGATATAGGAGATGCACCTATAGGTCAGTCACACAAAAGAGGAAAAACTAATGGAGGAAGAAATACTGAAGGCAAGCTTGTCCATTAACATTCTGCTTATTATTAAGCCTGGCTTCCATGTATGGGCCTCCCTCCATAACCTTGACAACTATGATTCCTAAAATCATAGGTTGTTTGCCTATAATTGCTTAGCTAAAGTTTATAAGAACTGATATAACAAGTTATTAAAGGAAGTTTACCAATTACATCTGAACTGTTTCCTCAAGTAACTTCTACCATTGACTCCACAAAATCTGAAGCTTCCTTTGTATGCTGTGAGTACCAAACTCATTCTGACAATTCAAAGAATTAAACATAAAATCACCACCCTGGGTACTAACTAAAAGTCTGACATATTTTTGTTACTTTATTTAAATATACAAATCTCTTATCACATTTAGTCACTTGTCACATAATTTAGACAGAGACTATAAAGTACCTGTTACTGTGATACTTCCTGTTGAAAAAATCTGTAATGTAGCTCGTAGAGCTTTTATGCGATAACATACTGCAGGATGAAGTTCGGGTTCATAACTGTCAAAAAGAGATACTCTAATTAACATAACACATAAATTTAAAGCTTTCCAAGTGATTTCAAATGTAAAAAGCTGGTTTC